AGATAACAAAACTTATACAAAAACTAATATTGCACTGCAAGATACCAGACGCATGGAGAAACAGCATAATGACACCAATGTTCAAGAAAAGATATAAAGAAGACCCCAACAATTATAGAGGTATAAATCTACTGAACACCGCATTTAAGCTTAACACAAAAGTCCTAACCAACAAAATCAATAAACTAACAACTTTATCAGATGAACAACAAGGATTCAGATCCGGAAGATCCTGTATCGAGTACAATAAACCAGAATATCTATGTTTTATAGACCTGACAAAGGCTTTCGATCGCATCCACGTCGAAGACGTCTTACACGTACTGTATAAAAAAACACACCAACCAATATTTCACAAACCATCGAAAACATCTACTTCCATAATCGAATACAGGCAAAGATAAATAAAAAACTAACACGGTGTATATCAGTACAAAGCAAAATCAGACATAGTGACTCGTTAAGCCCACTTATTTTTAATATACTACAAGCAGTACGTAAAGGTCATCGTTACAGAATGGGGTACAAAGAAACCAAATATTATGTTATGCAGCGAGACAGAAGACAAGCTCCAAAGATTAACACACATCTTCAATACAACAGCCAAGAAATACAATATGATAATAATCAGCAGAAAAAAACCAAATATATGACAACATCTAAATACCTACTACGATGTAAAATCGAAATTAATGGGAAAATAATAAAGCAGGAAGCAAGGTTTAGATATCTGGGAATAGATATAACTAGTTACGGAGATGTTCTTTCCTGTTCTCATCTCTTAATGACACAATCTGAAAGAACAAACACTTAGGTGTTTGAACAAAGAAAGACAAGAAACAAAAACAAGAATCTATAAAGCAGCAATTAGACCTATATTAACATACACGGCGGAGACAAGATCTGATACATCTAAAACGAAACGACTACTAGAAATAACAGAGATGAAAATACTCCGAAAACATAAGAAGATTGCAAGAAAACATGCAATATAGAAGTCAAAAATGGATGGGTGACAAAACGGAAATATGAGTGGAACGAACACATTAGTAGAATATCATAGGATAGGATGGTATGAATAGCACGATCTAAGTCACCAAATGGACGAAGAAGTATTGGCAGACCAAGAAAAAGGTGGTTCGATAATTGAAACAATTTAGGAGGCTAATATTGAAAAAGAAACGGGCTTTAAAGCCTACATACAAGAAGGAAGAAGAAGAAGAAGGATAAATCAATTAGGTCTGCAAAATGTAAAGCCCTTAAAAATATTTTACCTGATCCAGCGAAAATTGAAAAAGATATTGTAGGTAAAGATTTATATGTTAAAATTAACAATGTTGTGCCCTATATTTCCCCCTGAAATAAACGCATAAAATTTCAAAGCTATTCAACAATATCCTCATCTATCTATTTCCAAATTTAGTAACTGTCATACGAATTTTCTTAACATTACCTGTGTAGACAGCTATTGAGGAAAAAGCTTTTCGAAACTTAAAATAATAAAAAAATATCTACGATCCACAATGGGACAAAAAATACTTACCCATCGTTAGTATTGAACAGAATAATTTAGAAAATATAGATCTGTCTCACACTGTTAAAAAAATTGCCTTAAAATAGGCTAGAAAAGCAAAGTCTATTATACAGAGTGGACCAAAAGTCTGAAAACGGCCAATTATCTCGTAAATCGCTAGTTATAATTGTACAAAATTTGAGGTACACCTATTTTGGAATACGGAGATTCCATATTTGATATTTGCCATGTTGCCAGATTTTGCGTTTCTCTTATATTATTAGTACCTTTGGTTTTTTAAATGTATCACCCTGTATATTTAGTCATTATTGTAATCTCCTATTCAATACGAGTTCAACCATATGTAACACTTATGATTTTATGTAGTCTGAAAGGTCTTAAATACATAAAACACAAGTCTGGCAACGCCTAATTATTTCAATAAATTTTTTAATACTAAATATTTTCAACTACATGAAAACGTAACAATTGATAGATTAAAACATTTTTTAACAATAGTTACGTTATTAAGTGTTCAAAATGTGCTCAATGTATGAGTTGACAGTACCCTAATCGATGGTAGAATGCGTCTTTCACATTTCTCCATGATGGTCTAGAAACAATTCGAGATTCATTGATAATTCATTGCCTTAGCGCTGCAAGACTTGCTGGTTAAGTTTTGTAAACTGAATTTTTCAAGTATCCTAATAAAAATAATCTTTATGATTGAAATTGGGTGAGCGTGAAGGCCATTCAATTCTACCTTGTCTACCAATTTATCGTCCGGGAAATATCTCATCTAAATAATGCCGAACATTTACACCAACTATCTGACGTTAAATTTCTTTCGATTAAAAATGGCCCAATTGACTGAGTACCTACTATACCTTACGATACATTTAATTTTTGTGGTCTTTGAGTATGGTTTTCACGCATTCAGTGTGAATTTGTGTCACTCCAGTACCTTAAACTGTGTCGATTTACACTTCCACACAGTGTAAAGATTGCTTCATCGGAAAACATATTCTGTTAACAAAATTTTAATAATTTTCAATTTTATCCACCATTACTTCAGTAAACTCTAATCTAAGATCGAAGTCATCTTCACTTAATTCTTGCAATAAGTTTATTTTGTATGGTTTAAACTTATTTTTACGTAATATACGAAAGACTGAAGAACGACCTACATCATGTACTTGTGCAACCCTACCTGAGGATGTATGTGGATCTTCAACAAAACTTTTCTCTTTCCATCTATCTTTACCTTCTTCAGATTTCTCAAATCGCTTTACAGTTTTTTGTACCGTCGCCTTATAAATAGGAGAACGGTTTAGAGAACGCCATTTTAGAGAAGCAATTTAAATTGCAGAACTTTTCGAAACACAACTACTGTCAGTTTTCGTTTATAATTTAAATCGTGAACAAATGTCAATATCACAGCATTCTACATTTAAATATTTAAATGTATTAAAATCTACATATTTTGCACTCTTTTATGTATTTAAGACCTTCCAGACTACAAACAATCATAAGTGTTACTAATTCTTGAACTCGTATTGAATAGTTGAACTCGTATGAAATTCACACTGAATGCGTGAAAACCATACCAGACCACAAAAATTAAATGTATGATCAGGTATAGTAGGTACTTAGTCAATTGGGTCATTTTTTATCGAAGGAAATTTAACGTCAGATAGTTGGTGTAAATGTTCGGCGTTATTTAGATGAGATATTTTCCGTACTTATCGTACGGAATATTGGTAGACAAGGTAGAATTGAATGGCCTCCACGTTCACCCGATTTCAATCCTTAAGATTATTTTTATTAGGGATGCTTGAAAAATTCAGTTTACAAACTTAACCAGCCAAGTCTTGCAGAGCAAAGGCAACGAATTATCGATTAATCTCAAATAATTTCTAGACAATCATGGAGAAATGTGGTAGACGCATTCTACCATTGATTAGGGTACTGTCAACTCACAAATTGAGCACATTTTGAACACTTAATAACGTAACTTTTGTTAAAAAATGGTCTAATCTATCAATTGTTACGTTTTAATGTAGTTGAAAATAATGAGTATCAAAAAATTTATTGAAACAATTAGGCGTTTGCAGACTTCTGTTTTATGTATTTAAGACCTTCTAGACTATAAAAAATCATAAGTGTTATATATAGTTGAACTCGCATTGAATAGAAGATTCTAATAATGACTGAATATACAGGGTGATGCATTTGAAAAACCAAAGTTACTAATAATATCAGAGAAACGGCAAATCTGGCAACATTGCAAATATTAAATATGGAATCTCCGTGTAAATAGGTGTACCTCCAATTTTGTACAATTGTAACTAGCAATTTACGAGATAATTGACCTTTTCCAGAATTTTGGGCCACTCTGTATACCTAACTTAGTAGATATGTTAATATCCTGTCCTGTATTCATATTCTTTAATTATTATTATTATTCTTTATATCCTTTAATATAGAACATTTAAAAAAAAATTGTAAAATTATATTATATTAAATAAACTATGTATGCTTCTTACAATTTTGTTTTTTTTAACGTAAAATTATTTTAACTATTTGATTTACAAATGCTTATACATTTTCTGGGAAGGTTGGGATTGGGTAGGGCGGCCAAATTACTTTCGTACCCAGGCGGTACCTAGCCCAGGAACGGCCCTGAATGTATACATTCATGTTTTATAACTTTCATTCATGTTTAAAATTTTATCGTGAATGTTTATGTAACAGTAAGTTCTGCGAATGCTGCGTTACTGTGCTGTAAGTTTGCCTATAGAAATCGGATTGGGGTCATTGAGACCTATTTTGGGTAGAGAAATAATCCCTCTAGTCGTCCCTTAAAGGTCAATAAAGTTAGAATTGCCATGCTAGTAGCCAACATCTTCATTTTGGCCTAAATGTTCTTGTCATGTGTTCACTTTATTCCCATTAAATGGGACAATATGCTATCAGAATTCTTAAACTCTCTGAGACGAAGGATAAGAAAGAGAATACGCTAAGAATTTGACATATAAATTATAAAAAAAACTGTATAAAATAGTTACACAATTACAAAATAAAAGAGGAAGAAAGAGTTGAAACATAGTGGGGATTATATTAAGCAGTAGATACAAATAATCCCATGGAGTAAATATTATTGAAAACTGTATTCTACAATTTATATACTTACAAAATTTCAATTAATTCACAATTTAACAACAATTTATTGGCTCCTAGTTCCACAATGGCTACGGTGAAGTCGTTGACATACACCATTCGAAGGGACTCCTGCGACACCCTATATCCCGTGTAATTTTTAGGTAGGACGAGTCTATTCGCGTGAGGTCCGAACTTTGAAAAGTCGGGAAACTGCAAGGAAAACGACGGCATGGACTTCCCGTCAATCCCGACTAAACATAAAAACAGCAAAGTCGCGAACATCACCGTCACATTCTCCAGTTTTGGCAACGTCATTTTGACAGTCTTTTTTGTGACAGTTTCGTTCGTCACATTATTTTTGTTAGAACATTTCCTGCCGTTGATGTACGTTCCTGCGAAGCGTGCAGTAGACTGAGCGGATTACCGGTACCACCATATACTCATGTACCTCGCCGGAGTTTGTAGGTCAGTAAAAGAAAATATTTTATCGCTGAAGTGTTTACACGCTAACGAGACAATTAGTGGGGCAAATTGTGTTCAATGAAAGAGTCGATATATTGTCTATATTTTTTATAGCAGAAATAGAATACCTTTATTTATTTTGCGTTTTTACCATATCGCGGAATTAGTAATGAATTGAATTCAACAGAATAAATTTAATAATTTTTTTGTTTGTTTAGTTGACTTCTAGTTAAGTTAATTGTATTTGTCGTAACGTTTTTACTACTCTAATTAATTCTTAGTATTTTGCCACCTGGTTTTTTCCGAGACTTATTAGGGTTGCGTAACCTTATAGTTTTCTTTAGTGGTATTTGGTTTTTCCTCTCCTTTATACATAGCTACAAGGAGTACGTAAGAAGATAATTAGTTCTTCACAACTTGTAAATTATTTGAAAAATGTAATGAATACGATGTTCAGGTGCATCAATTATTTATGTAATTAAAAACCTGGCATAGTGACAATATTAGCTTACTCGCCAGAGATTTGAGCCCTAAAAATCATACGAACAAGCTAAATTTTGCTAAGAATATCAATATTGGGACCCTAAAAAAGATGCAAAAAAGTTTACTACTTTTACCCCAGGGCTTCCCCTAAAACACCCCTCGTAGGGGAGTAAAACCGCAAAAAATCGATTTACGAAGAATCTGTACGTCGCGTCGTAAAAAAAATATTCTAAATAAAAAATGTAGCTGAGATAATTTTAAACAAAAATGTTTATTAGCACTTTTTATGTAGAATAAACCGTTCTCTCCAAAACAACGCTTGAAGTGACAGGCGATTTTGAATATCAGTCGCGCGCGCGAAATCAATGTTCATCATATTTCTTAATTAAATAACGATTAAATTGAACACAGTTGTTGCTACAGTCAATTCACTGGAAACTTTACGATTTGTATTTCCCTTAGGGCATGGATGCACAGACCGTCGCATACACAGAAACTGCATTTTTTATACAAATAATAGGCGAGTATAATTTTTTTCTTTGACGACAACATGATATAACATATATTGCATGCCCTTGTTACTTTAAAACTGACGATATTTCGGATATCCCATACCGTCAACGGACGCATATCCCTTGAAAATTATGAACCGTCAACAAGGGTACCCGTTTAGCATCGTCCCGTTACCGGTTGAAAAAAACGTTCGTTAACAAGAGCTCTTGTTAACGACAACGTACAACGTGACGTTTTTGACACCGTCCCTTTGGACGTTGCTCAATGTCTTTCAGGTTCTGTGTGTTCACGCAACGGCAACCAACTCACGGTTAACTTTTCACCGTCTACGTATCCAGTCCCCCTCGGCAATACGTTCGACGGGACGGTACCGTGAACCCCTTAGTGAACCTTTTTAGTTTATGGAAGTGTGTTAACGGCGTTGGGTGAGCATCCGTTGTTTCAATAAATTTCTTTCTTTGTTGCCGCTAAAATATGGATTTTGATATGGAGATTCTAATAAGTTATTTCACCAATAATTTTTATTTTATATATAGATTGTATATTCTTAAATGATAAAAATTCTATTAAGTTTGTAATTTTTTTTTTTTTAGTTTTTTTTATAACCGAAAGTTTTTATTATGTTATACTAATAGCATAATTCATACATAGGTAACAGCTAGTCGATCAGCAGGTGCAAGGAATAGCCTCATATTATTGCCAGCACGTTTTAATTTATCATGTATTATTCCTAACAATTTGCGGAAAGTTTCTTGACCTATTCGGAAGTAATTAAAGAATTTTGTTTCGTCTTTTTTCAATTCTTCGTAAAGTCTATGAAAAGCAGCATACTTTTCTCTTTCTAATAAAATAGGATGTATCCATATTTTTCTTTTACGTTTCTCCTGTTGCTTCTGCATTTTTTATACAAATAATAGGCTAGTATAATTTTTTTCTTTGACGACAACATGATAAAACATGTATTGCATGCACTTGTTACTTTAAAACTGACGATATTTCGGATATCCCATACCGTCAACGGACGCATATCCCTTGAAAATTATGAACCGTCAACAAGGGTACCCGTTTAGCATCGTCCCGTTACCGGTTGAAAAAAACGTTCGTTAACAAGAGCTCTTGTTAACGACAACGTACAACGTGACGTTTTTGACACCGTCCCTTTGGACGTTGCTCAATGTCTTTCAGGTTCTGTGTGTTCACGCAACGGCAACCAACTCACGGTTAACTTTTCACCGTCTACGTATCCAGTCCCCCTCGGCAATACGTTCGACGGGACGGTACCGTGAACCCCTTAGTGAACCTTTTTAGTTTATGGAAGTGTGTTAACGGCGTTGGGTGAGCATCCGTTGTTTCAATAAATTTCTTTCTTTGTTGCCGCTAAAATATGGATTTTGATATGGAGATTCTAATAAGTTATTTCACCAATAATTTTTATTTTATATATAGATTGTATATTCTTAAATGATAAAAATTCTATTAAGTTTGTAATTTTTTTTTTTTAGTTTTTTTTATAACCGAAAGTTTTTATTATGTTATACTAATAGCATAATTCATACATAGGTAACAGCTAGTCGATCAGCAGGTGCAAGGAATAGCCTCATATTATTGCCAGCACGTTTTAATTTATCATGTATTATTCCTAACAATTTGCGGAAAGTTTCTTGACCTATTCGGAAGTAATTAAAGAATTTTGTTTCGTCTTTTTTCAATTCTTCGTAAAGTCTATGAAAAGCAGCATACTTTTCTCTTTCTAATAAAATAGGATGTATCCATATTTTTCTTTTACGTTTCTCCTGTTGCTTCTGCATTTTTTATACAAATAATAGGCTAGTATAATTTTTTTCTTTGACGACAACATGATAAAACATGTATTGCATGCACTTGTTACTTTAAAACTGACGATATTTCGGAGATTCCATACCGTCAACGGACGCATATCTTTTGAAACTTATGAACCGTCAACAAGAGTACCCGTTTAGCATCGGCCCGTTACCGGTTGAAAAAAACGTTCGTTAACAAGAGCCCTTACGTCAGTTGTTTTCTAAGGGTGAAATATTTTTATGAATCCCCCACACGTCGATTTACTATTGCAGTGTTAACCCGTCAAGTGCCGTGTATAATTGTGTTGTGAAATCGTAAGTAAAACTCTGTTATTAATAAGTGTTTCTCTACCTATTTAATCAATTTTAATCAAATTCAGCTTTAATGTTCGCCAAATATTAAAATAAAACAAAAAAATTACTATTTTTATCAGAATTTCTCTAATTGTAATAATTACGTAATTATTTCAGATATAAAATCTGTATAAAAATCTTAAAATTTCTTAGGAATAATATTCAATCAATTATTTTTGATAATTTAAAAAACGATGGGTAATCCTTAATGGGGTAAAGGTAGGTCCTGTAATTGTTTTCAGGTGCTGTGTTAATCCTAGCCAGGATTAGAACGCAACATGGAGAAGCCAGGACCTAGTAAAAAACGTAAGGTTAAAGATGAAAATCGGCAGTTTCAAGAAATTTGGACTGAGAAATACTTGTTTGTATGGTCGCATAACAAAGTCTTTTGTTTAATTTGCAAAAATTCTTTTGCGATTGCAAAGGAATATAATGTAAAAAGGCACTATTAAACGCAGCATCCTTCTTTTACCAAGTTTAGAAGCGAATTAAGAAAGCAAAAAATGTTGTCTTTAAAACGGCAGCTTATTGGTCAGCAAGCTATGTTTACAAAACCCATTCAAGATTCAGAAACAGCTAGAGAAGTTAGTTATGAAATTTCTCGAATGATAGCAAAGCGAAGTCGCCCCTTCAATGATGGCGATTTTGTAAAAGAATACATAGTAATTGCCGCTAAGAAAATGTGTCCAGAAGCATCAAAAAAGTTTGAGAAAATTCAACTGAATTGTATGACTATCCAAAGACGAATAATATCTTTGTCAGGTAATATTGCGGAACAATTGATTGAAAAAACTAAGATCATTGATTTTTTTTTCATTAGCACTCGACGAATCCACTGATATTAGTTCCACAGCTCAACTTCTCATATTCATACGAGGTGTTACTCAAGATTTTGAAGTCTTAGAAGAGTTATTAGGAACGTGTTCATTGAAAGGTCAAACCAAAGGAGTTGATATACTCAGTGTTCTTTTGGATGAGTGTTCAAAAACTGATTTGGACTTATCAAAATTATCGGGAGTTGCGACTGATGGTGCTCCTTCAATGATTGGTGTCAATTCCGGGCTAGTTACTTTGCTGAAAAAGCATCTGCAAGAAAAAAACATAAACGCTGAAGATCTTATGCAGTTTCACTGCATTATACACCAAGAAGCCCTCTGTTCTAAAAAAATTGAATTTCAAAATGTCATATAAGTGGTAGTTTCGATTGTATATTTCATAAAATCATGAGGACTCAATCACAGACAATTCAAACAATTCCTTGATGACATCAAAAGCGAATACGGAGATTTACTGTATTATACAGAAGTAAGGTGGCTAAGTCGTGGATTGACACCGGAACGATTTCTAAATTTAATAGAAGAAATTGGAATATTTCTGTCGGAAAAGCAAAGGGATGTCCCGGAACTTAAAAATCCTGATTGGTTGTGTGATTTGGCTTTTTTAGTTGACATTACAAATCATTTGAATGTCTTGAACACACGGCTTCAAGGCAAAAATCAACTGATATCCCAGCTCTACGCTCATGTATCATTCTTTCAATAAAAGCTGACACTTTTCAGATCACAGTTGAATTCTGGAAATTACAATCATTTTCCGAATTATAAGAAAATGGCTGAAAAATTCAACAAAACTGCAATTAATTTTAGTTATGTAGAAAAGCTAGATATTTTGATTCAATCTTTTCAAGAAAGATTTTCGGAGTTTAAAAAAGTGAAACCTCTGTTGGACATATTCAGCAATCCTTTCACGATTTCAGTTGAAAATGCGCCAGAGTCAATGCAGTTAGAAATTATCGACATTCAAAACGACCAAGATTTACGTAACAAATTCAAC